TTGCTATGATGTTCAGCATCCCCCACAACACACCTTTCAAGAACCATGTGTCCTGCACACACTTACTGCAACACGTGGTGTACCTCATTCAGTGTATCAAATGTCCCGACCACAGCTGTGAATAAAACCAAACAATCTCCATGCTCTTGAATGAACTCACACAGAAAAATAGATGACAAAGGCACTCTGTTGCAAATGCTCTTCACAAAAAGATCAATCCATATCAACCAACATCTTCAAAAGATAAGCTAAGTCTTCTTGACATTAAAATTCATGATGTCAATAGAAACACTAGTTGTTGTAATGAGACACAAAATCTGTAATTCATTAACCCTCCTTTGCACAGTGACTGCAAAGGTGGAAGTTGCCCACTTCATCCTGAATTGTTTCTTGCAGTATGTGTCAACTGCTTGTGTTCCTTTCCCACATATGAAGAAAATCTCTCTGTAACTCAAGAATTTCAACAGACATTGACAGAGTGAATGGTGCCTGTCCAGAGAAGGGATATGTGGGAGCATCCCATTTAGCAATTAAAATTTGGAATGGCGGGCAGTGCACCTCCCAACTGCTACCCTGAGACTATGTCACACTTCCTTAATTTGCATTCCTTTTTCCACTTTTTTTTCCAGAAGAGGCTTTCCGACATTTGGCCCGTCTACCCGGGGCCAAATATGGGGAAAACCTCCTCTTTTGGAAGATCCCTTATTCCTCATAAAATGAGAAATACAGGGCTTCCGAAAGAACGTGCCAGGTTTTTCAGAAACTGTTCTGAAAAGGGGACACGTTCCCTGCATGTGGCAGAGTTTTTTCGGGATACCTTTGGTATCCCGGAAAAACTCTGTAGTGTAGACATAGCCTTAATCACCTATGAAAGCTGATCCAATAAAAGACACTATGTCACACACCTTGTCCCTCTCCTATCCTGGGACCAAGAATGCTATAACAACACTGTAAACAGTTTCTTACTCTGAAAGATAGTTTAGTCTTACATCAGCTTGTATCTAGCTATATACATTCAGGCAAAACATTTAAACATCCCAGCATGGGTATTTCCATTTAAAGCTGATTACAGTGAAATAAAACTATAGCTATTAAAGGCTTAGAAGAACTACAAATACAAGCAGTAAAAAAAGACAGTTAGTAAATGAGGTAGTAAAACATTTGAGCAGGGCAAACAGTTCATAGCACTCAGCCTTCTTGTAGCAGACTGTTCTATTCACTACAGACCCATGCACTGTTCCCTGAACTGCACTTAAACCTGCAATTAACCTTTCACGCCTAATGAAGCTGTTTTGCTGGAAAATTAAAATATATAGTACTGCCTGCTTTTACAGAGACTGGGAGGAGAGCATTTCATAATGAATGACTTTTCACAGGCTTTTGTTGAAAAGCAAAATTTAAAGTACTCTGTATACAAATTGGGAATGTGCTTTGCAAGGAAATCTCATTTGATGTGCTGTATTTTATTCCTGTACTTATTAATTGTTTTGCGTAATTGTTAAAACAACAACAGCATACCCACACACCAGTAATTTTACGATTAGGCAGCTATTGCTTGACAGTCAACTATTACCATTTAACTTCCATTAGGAAAGATTATATTTCTTAAAAAAAGATAACCAAGTTCATATTGTTTTCTCTCATATTTTTCTCATTGTGAATGCAGTTATCTTTAAAAACCTATATATTTTACACTGATGAATTTGGCTGAATTCAGTTTTTAATTATCTTTCCATACATATCCGTAAAACAGGTTACAGATTTTTTTCACCAACAGGGATTATGAAAATAACCTGGCCTATTTCTATGCAGCTAAAATCATTTGGACTTAAAATAAATCAAGTCCTATGATGATTGAATTTTCAAACCTTGGACAATTAGTGGTTCTGCCTTGTGTGGAAATGATACATGGGCTCTCCATGTGGAGGCATGATGGTTTCATAGCTCTTTACTGATGTCCTACCTACAAATAATGAGATAAAGTTCTGGTTTGGGAAATATTAAAGGCTATGTCTACATTATCACATATGTCAACAAAACTCATGTTGCTCAAGGGTGTGAAAACGTGGAGTGTACAGCGCTAATTTGGCAGGAGAGTTTCTTCCATTGTCATAGCTACTGCCACTCAAAGGAGGTGATTTAATTACATTTTCAGGAGAGTTCTCCTCTCCCATCAACATAGGGTGGCTACACAAGAAATGTTTACAGCTGCTGGCCAGTTGCACGAGTACTGCTGCTGGCCCACTGTAAGTTCTCTAGTGTAGACATAGCCTAATATCTGAAGAACACAGGCAAACAACCTAATATCTGAAGAACACAGGTAAACTAAACTGGCTGTGAAACTGGAGGTAACAGATGTTGAGCATCATAAGATTTACATTTCCAGCTTTAATCATCTTACATATATTAGTTTTTTGACATTTTAGGAACAAAAACCTACAAAATAAAGGTAAGGTTTACAATAAATATTTAAACTCTAGCACTTTTATCAAATCGTCAGTAGCATTTTAATGTAAATTCTGCTTGCCTGCAGCATCTGTGCATCATCTTGAGTTGGTAAATGAAATTCCTTTAGACCGCCAGTCTGAAATAATGAATTGTTCCCCTAGTTAATTGTATTGCTTTGATAACAAGGAACTGTGCTGGGCCTAGAGAACACAATAAGTGAATTTCATCAGATGATTTGTATGACATTTTGAAAAATGATCTTCTGGAGTGACCTGATTTTAATGGAACTTGAACAGCATGCCAACATGTCCCAGTATGAAGCATTAGATTTGAAGGAAACAGTTCCTTCTGAATCTTAAGGCTACGCAGAGTGGGGTGAGCAGCATGCAATCAAGCATACAAAAAAAATCACATAAGAAGAATAATTGGAAGAAGTGTCTTCCTCCTAATATACAATCCATTTAACATACTTGCTAAGTCTCACTGTTAAAAACAGAATAACATATGGGGGAAACATAAAAAATCCTAGCTTTGGTAACATCAGATATTGCTAATATTTTAAGGGTGCCTCAAAGATATCTTATAATTTCATTTATCAATGTCCACTTTTAGGGATTGCTAGCTAATGCCAGGAAATATAAGTGTGTGTGTGTGAGAGAGGAAAATTACATAATTAATCTTGGCCCTTGCATATCCTGAAACATAAAAATGGTAATAATATGTATCATTTCTACAGCATATAGCACTTTGTGTTTTCAGAGTGGTATGAATGTTAACTGGCTGAATCTTGTAACATCCTTGTGAGAGAGGGAAGATATTATTATAGTTTTGGATTAGCACAGAATTTCCAGTATATCAGCAACCTGAACTGCTTGGTTTCCTTCTGACAATGTATTTGATGTGAATAAAGCGGACTTTAGAATTGCATAGAAATCCTGAAAATTATACCTTTTCACTTATAATCAGCAAGGTGATGCAGTGAGATAATGTGTGAGCAATTGCATTTAAAATTGGGTTTTTTGGTAGATAAAACTCAGCCCATGTAAAAACAATAATATATGTTATTTATTACAAATACTGGAAACTATGTTAAAGGTCCTAGAGTGGATGAGCACCATATGCAACTGAGCTTTAAGGGGAAGTGTATACTGTTTGTCCACATTGTTTTAATTAGTTATGGCTAAATTGGTTTCTGAATGCTGTGAAATCAAGAATCAATTACTCCATCAGAGTTTGAAGAATACAATAATGTGATTTTGTGAGTTGTTGCTACTAATATTTAACATAAACTATTACCATCATGTTTTACTATCTGATAACAATCCATCTATAACTTCTCTGATTTCTATGTCTCCTATTATAAGATCTCTGATACACCAAGATCAAATAATTTTTCTTCCTCATCCTTAATTTTAGTTCCCAAAGCCATTAACAATTTTGCACCATTGGCCAAGCTATAAAGACATTACATGTTTTGTATGTAAACTGTTTATTTGCTGTCTTTAATGGTTTTCTTAAAGCTGGCCTTTGAGTAAATCTATTTGGGCTGAAAACATCCTTTGATTACAGTTCCAGCAAAATGTTGTAAAACGCTAGTTTACTACTTCATTCTATTATATTAATATATCCATTTCTCTTTAATATATTAAGCGAATTTTGTTAGTGTTTTTATGCAGATGAACTCCAGTATTAAAGTTACTTAGTATGTAAAAGGTTTGTAGATAGTTATGTTTTTTTCACTTTTTTCCTCATACTCTATGTATCTTTTATTTTATTATATATATTAGGAAATCCCAGACACAATGTATAGATGTACTGCAAGCAGCTACCAATATGTTTCTCCGATAAACTAAACAGGTTCCACACAGTATAATTAAGAACAGAATTTGTCCCTAAGACTTTACTTAGTTTCTACTATGCTCACACTATTTGAAAAAAAATTACAAAATACTTTTGTTTGCTGTTATTTATATTATAGTAGTATCTAAAATCCCAACTGTAGTCAGAGTTCCACAGTGCTAAGCATTATAGAAACACATAGTAGGAGGTGTGGTAAGTTGAGTAAGTTCCTGTCACAGATGACTTCTTTCTACACGGACAAGCCAGATAAAGGGTAAAAAAGGAAAGAGAGACACAGGCTACATCTACACAGCTTCCCTCTTCCGCAAAAACCTATGCAAATGAAGCATGGCAATATGCTAATCCATGCTCATTTCCATAGGCTCATCACCATAGCCACAGAGTGGTGAAGTGGCATTCCCAGGGTCACATAGGAAGTCAGTGGCAGAGCCACAATGGAACCTAGGCCTCCTTATTTCCAACCTAGTAGCCTATCACCTCACTACTTTTTCATCTTCTTTTGTTCCCAATTATAAGAAAAACATATTATATAATAGGAAACTATTTCTCAGTGTCCCATTTCACTTTGAAATAGCTGATGACTTGCTGGAAAAGTACAACAGACTGGACATGAAAGGTACCAACACAATGCTAAGAAAGGCTTCTCACCATTGGGCATTAAATTGTGTTTTGTGTTTTTATTTTTCTTACAGGTCTTGCAATTGCAAGTGCCTTGATAGACATTTCCCAGCAGAAGCCTGCAGACTGTAAAGATAAGAGTTCAGGAGTCAGAAATCGAAAACATCATCTTTCAACACGTCAAGGAACTTGTGTCTGAGGTCCAGAAAATGCACTTGTACATGCTGCAATGTTTTCTTTTAAATGGCTTCCATTGAAAGCTATACTACAGCCTCAGTTTTTATGGAGGCAAACCTATGGATTATGATGATGAAGATGATGATAAGTAATGTGCCCTGTTTTATTCACATTTGCAGCCAGCTATGCCCCACAGCAGAACAACCTTATGGCAAATACGAATATATATGATGAGTTTATTTAGAAATAAACTAAATACTTATCTTGATGCTGAGCATGTATTGCAACAGGGTGGGCACTGACTATATCCAGGAGAAACTGTACATTGTTTTGTAATGTAGAAGGAAATTGTATAATTGCAAACTAAACTATTCACAGGACACTAAAAGACATTTTTGTAGAGCTTAATTTAATGGTGAGATTGTACAGTTTTCTTCTAGTAATCAGGGTTAAAATTCCCTTACAGAAAGCAGGAACTGAAGGTACTGATCTAGATTGAGGCATTGTTTTATAATTGCCCAAATCAGGCAGATTTTGAATTAAAAAGTAGATATGTGTAGCCAAACAAAACAGCAAATCTATATTTTGAAGTTCCTATAATATAAAAATCCTGATTAAAGCATATCATGGTTTTATTTACCTTCCTAAAGTTCCTGAAATATAATCTGGGCTGCAACAGGATGATGGGTGAATTTCAGTATTGCACTTGCACTTCATAAGAAGTTTATTGGAATTCTGACTGAGATGTATTTTAAAGAGTGCATGTTGGTCTTCCATACCAACTAATTAATTATCTGAGCTAACTAAGCATGGAAAATTCTGTGTTGAAATCAAGTTCCCTTTTTTCCAAAACCTCTTTCCAAGATTGCAAGCCTAAGGAGAGTTTAACTTGCTGTAACTTTACAGTAGTGTACCAACTTCTGCTTCAATACAGTAATATTCTAAAGTGACTGTAAATCACTGTCCGTATCACCCAGCAAAAGAGTTGCACTTCAAACAGCACATTGGCCCGTAAATAATAATAATTAATAATAAATTATCCTCTTCTTGCCTTCCTTTCCCAGCTGCAGAATTTCATTTGATCTTCATTTTCCTCCTATTTCAAGAAATATCCTGCATACAAAATAAATATAATAATGAACTTGAAAAAGCCAGCTTGATTCCAACCATGATTCTCAGATCATCCATCCAATAAGGGACATCATCAAATCAGTGCTCAACAACAATAAAGTGAACAGAAGAGCATTTTTTTCACTAAGCATTAGTCTAACAAGCTTTGAGGAGCTTGTTCACCATGGTAAAAATTTCAGCAAATGGTTTCATATGTCTCCGCTCACTGTATTTTCAGTTAGTTATAATTCTGAAATACGGCAAAAGAAAATGAGATGGCTAAGGAGGGAGGTAGCAGATGGGTCTTATTCTCAATTATGCATTAAGCGTTGATGACAGTTTATATGAAACCTGTAGTTTTGTTAGATCTTGCTTGGAAGTGAAGTTTATCACCTCCGCAGTTGCCAAGGTGCTAATGTAGGAGAGAGCCACAGATGTATAAATGCCTCTTGTATATGATAGAGTTTTGGTAAATATGAACGATATAAAAAGATAATTGATGTTTACTACTATAGCTGTATTTTTCATTTTCTTTTTTATTTCAGGAAGGTGATGACATTTTACTATTTACAATTGACTACATAGTTACTTGCATGCCATGGTGGTGCAGTAGCAGTAATAAAGCCCTATTGTGAGTTGGTAGTGTTTACTTTGTAATGCCATTCATACATAAAACTATTCAGCTTAATTTGGATGAGGACAGAATGTAAAAATTAAATAAATATTAAAAGGAATGGTTGTACAGGATTATTAGGTTGCATCTTACCATGACTGCTATATTGTTTTGACAAATTGTGAATTTATGAATTATGCTATAATTATTCCTTAGCTGGCATGATTGTTTCAGTATTTTCCTATCTTAAAATATGACTATTTCTTAAGCTAAAATAACGCCATCATGATATTATGTTTTTATTGACTATTCTGACCTCACTCCCTAATTTTTTAAAACCTAAGACTCATTTTTAAAGATTCTGTTATGAATTTTCAGTCAATTCTACTTAAAACTGAAAAAAGAGTTCTGAAAATAGCCCCTTCTGTCAATTTGAATGCAGATCTGCTCAAGGGAAAATAAGCCAGTAGAAATAGTGTATATGGTGAATAAGCCAATCATAAAGAAAAGAAATAAACCACTTGTCTGGAGATTTTCCCTAATTCTGTAATATCTTTATGCTGAAACATTATGCATGAGAAATATACAGGTTTTTTCTGTGGACCTAAGACCCACAGTACACAGGACATACGTTCTCAGAGCACTACTCTGACTTTAATCCCCCAGATTAATTGAATCTACCTATAGTCATCTGAAGTTTGATGTTACTTGAAAAATAAATTTAAATTTAAATGGATTTTAATGTTTATTGTAACACTTGAGATGGGCAGATATGCATCAGGAATTTAGTAATTTATCCATTAAAACATGTTTTTATTGTTCAAGTAAACTTACCTTGGGGTCATTCAACATTTTCATTACATTGAGTACTTTTTCTAATTCTTTTGTTGTTTCTTCTCCCAGAGTCCCTGACTATATGCAGATTAGTGAAAATAAATACATCAAGTAGAAATATTAATATAATATTGTCATTAAATGGAAGTTTGCAACTAGTATCAAACCACAGTATCAGAGAGCTGTGAAAATACTGATTTGTCTCAGATACCACACTATGCAAATTGTTGGCAAATATTGACTCTTAATGGTGACCGCTGTACAGTAGGTGACAGATAGTCTCGTTTTCTTTATGCTCAAGAATGTTCAATGCTCTGCTTTTGAGCTCTTAATCCAATGCAGAAAATGTTGAGTGGCCCTTTGTAACATTAGTGTAATTTATGTAGAACTACGAATATAGGGCTAAAAACTGATCTGGTTAGTGGCCCTGTGGTGAAATTCTAACCATCAGGATTCTATAACTGTTTAATTTCTTTGCAAACCAGTCTTTAATAGTTCTGGGGACAAATTCACAGCCATAAATTACCGTTCAAAGCAAAATAAAAGATATATTGCATACTGTAGCATGGATGGACCTCTGCATTTCTCGTGTGTGTGTGTTTGTGTGTACCCTTTCATGAAGCTACTTGAATGTAGTCTGTGTAAATATGTTACACTTCAGAATGTAATGAGTTCTGTTAATTATATTTCCTTGTTAGAGACAGACATATATGTTTAACTGGGCAAATTCAGATTCAAATCTGACTGCATTTTTTTCCAAGGGAGCCCTCTTTTTATACAGTAGAACCAAAAACATGGAACATTTGAAAATATTGGGTCTTGATATATAGAGAGAGTCTGATGTATAAAATCAGCAGCAGTGATGAATTTCTCAAACAATTTACATTGTAGGTCTGGAATCCTGAGGGTAAGAATTGAGAGCTCACTTCCACAATGGCTCAATCTTTAGGCCTAATATATTCGACAGTATTCATCTAGATTACAATGTCATTATGTACTTATTTCATTCCCGGTTTTATTTTAAAACAACCTGAAGGATTTCTGGACAATAAAGGTAAAGTCTCTGTTAAAAGAATGAAGCTGTCTCTTGTTTTTCATGCGAGCCATCTTTTATTAAGATTGTATGGCATTATTATAGGAAATTCTCAAGAAGGCAAATCTCAACTGGACAAAGTGTCGTTGCAAATAGCTCGACCTTTAGCTTGGCACCTAAAAGGATCTGGCTTTTCAGTCATGTAAAAATAAATGAAACTTAACTTTTCAGCCTAAAAAATGCTACCTTTTTCAAGGTGAAGTGCTGATGCTTATGTCAACTGATACCTATGAGAGGACGTCTAAGCGAGTAGACATTAAAGCTATTTTGAACACATCTGACAAATAAATATTGCTTATAAGGACAATAACCAGAACACTGGGTAAAGCCTTTCCATCTTCTGATATTAATGAATATTTTTTCATTTGCCATCTGTGCTCACCGTGATCGTCATGTGTATAAATTGAGTAGAACTGTTTTGTGACTATTCTGTGCCAATATAAAGGCACATAAAAAGTTGTTGCAAGCTGGAGCAACTAAGAGGAGGGCCAGAAGTTAGGAGTTGCAAAGAGGACCTCTCACCCATTCCCAGAGTAAGGAGGGCACAATAGTGAATCTAGCCCTTTGTGTTTTAACGTGGGCATCCAAACTCTGCAGCTAATTTGGGCAATTTGTGCTTTAGCCTTTCTATGTGTCAGATTATCTATCAATCAAGTGGTGGTTTAAACAAAAACAAAACAACTCAAAAGGGGCATTTTGAAGCTTAGTTTGTTAATATCTGCAATGTGTTGATGCTTTGATGCATGGCACAACAGAAGTGCAAAATACTACTATTTTCAGTGCAAGTTGGCAGCAGTAGATTTGCTTTCTGGAGAGATCAGCTTGTTTGATTTATAGTCACTGTTTAAAAGTGAGGGCCAGCTGGAAGGACACCATTAACAGCACCCGTTCAGCTTAAAATATTTTTATTTTAGCAACAAAATAGCCTCCCTGGAGTGTAAATAAAACTTAAAGCAATGAACAGTAGGACATTTTGCTTCTCAGATTTCCTCAGTGAAAAGTGTACGAAGCATCATATTCACATGAAGGCCACCTCACATGAATGGGGATATAGAAACCGCCTGTCACCATTTATTTATACATATACATTTTTATTTAGAAGTGCTAGTTTGGATTGGTAGATTCTTGGGGTTTTGTACTGCTGCCCATCACTATAACATTTGTGTGCGTTCCATATTAAACAGCGATGTCCCAAGTGGACTTCATGGAGTCTCTGATTTTTAATGGTATACAAACTATAGTTGCAGCAGATTGTTTCTTTTGGATTGGGGGTGTGTACAGCGAGGTGCTGTGATCCTTTCTCACAAGTTGATAGTGCAAAGAGGAGTTTTTAGACACTGATGCTACCTGACCATTCAAGCTTCTTGATGAGTCAAGCAAGATCCTGAAGCTTTGCATCAATTTGTTGAAGGGGGACTTACATGCCTTCAGGGTAAGTGGAGAACATTACCCCTGTTAGTTCTTGCTAGGATTTCTCACAACCAGCATTATTTCAGTCTTGCCTGGGTCAGACCCATCTGTTCTTCATCTGAGGGCTGATCTCTTGTAGGATTTCTAATTTCTTAGTAATGTTGGTGATTGAATCTGTGTAGTGAATGAGCCAGACAGTTGAGTGACATCAGCGTAAAGCTCTGTAGGCTTAGTGTTTCAGTCTTTCCAAGACATCTCATTCAGATACCTAAAAGAAAGAGAGACAGTATGTTAGTATGTTTATCCACAGAACTCTATCAGTAAGGGCTTTCGTGGAGCACCCCTGTCACCCTACTGGAGAGGAATTATTGGAGCCACTCTAATGCTGTGTCCTAAATTTATTAGTACAGTAAAACTCCATTAGTCCGGCATCCAATGCTCCGGGACTCCTGATGGTCTGGCACCATCAGGAACCCGGAAGTGCTAGGGCAGCCGGACAGGCTACCCCCATTCAGCTGCTGCTGAAACTGACCAGCAGCTGAAGGGGGGAAGCCAAGAGCAGAGCAGCTGGAGTGCTGCCGGGTTGGTCCCGTAGCGCCGCCCCTCGGTGCTGCGGGACCAACCCGGCAGCACCCCAGCTGCTCTGCCCTAGGGGTCCCCAAGTCAGCCGCTGATCTGTTTCAGCAGCGGCTGAATCGGGGACCCCTTGGGCAGAGCAGGTGGGGTCCCGCCCGCGTGGGCCCACCGGGGCCC